GGGTTTAACGTCGTGCTTGAGATTATTTCGCTCATACGGCGACGTGCATGCGTGTGTATGTGTATGTGGGGCTGCTTGTACTAGCCCAGACTGAAGCTGGTTTTATAGTGCTAGCCCACTGAGATACCATGCCGCAGTGAAGCATGAATACCCCATTCAGACACATTATACTGACTCCGAGCCGACCAGTCCTTGTTGTACCCATTAATACCGAGCGCAGGCAGGGACCAACAAGTACCTTATTTTAACGTCTTTTGGTATGACGCGGTCGGGGATCGAACCCGCGACCTTCCGCTCTCCGGGCGGACGCTCTAACCACTACACCACGGAGGCGGTCGTGGCGCTGTATTTCTATACTGGAGTGTGTTATAATGCCATTACACAGTACTCCAACGTCAATAACAGGTACGGCCTATGGAACTCCTGATCCGAAGTCGGACCCCTTGTCCACATCACTAAAGAGGTTAAGCCGGTCAGACAAGGTAATGATGTCATCTGTGGGATGAGTACACGCCCTGCTACATGTGCATCATCAATGAGTGAGTGAGTTTAGTTTTACGCCGCACTCAGCAATATTCCAGCTATATGGCGGCGGTCTGTAAATAATCGAGCCTTGACCAGACAATCCAGTGATCAACATCATGAGCATCGATCTGCGCATTTGGGAACCGATGACATGTGTCAACCAAGTCAGCAAGCCTGACCACCCGATCCCTATTCTACCCCGGATCTTCACGGGTCTCGCCTCTAACGACAAGCACAGTCGCCTTTTGTGGCAAGCATGGGTTGCTGAAGACCTATTCTACCCGGATCTTCACGGGTCTCGCCTCTTACGACAAGCATAGTCGCCTTTTGTGGCAAGCATGGGTTGCTGACGACCTATTCTACCCGGATCTTCACGGGTCTCGCCTCTTACGACAAGCATAGTCGCCTTTTGTGGCAAGCATGGGTTGCTGACGACCTATTCTACCCCGGATCTTCACGGGTCTCGCCTCTAACGACAAGCATAGTCGCCTTTTGTGGCAAGCATGGGTTGCTGAAGACCTATTCTTCCCCAGATCTCGCCTCTTACGACAAGCATAGTGGCCTTTTGTGGCAAGCATGGGTTGCTTAAGACCTATTCTACCCCTGATCTTCACGGGTCTCGCCTTTTACGACAAGCATAGTTGCCTTTTGTGGCAAGCATGGGTTGCTGACGACCTATTCTACCCCGGATCTTCACCGGTCTGTGCATCATCAATCTTGGAACAGTACTATACTAAACAGCTCGAGACACAGCATATGTAGACAGTTTAAAAGTCTTATCGAACCATCCTAACAAGAAAAACAGTGCAATATGTTGATAATACTGAGGATGGGGTTATTAAGGTTTACAATTATAGAAGTTAGATGGCTGGAGTTAGACTGAAGTTTACACTTATGACATATTTTTAATTTGGGAAATGAAGATTTTATCTTAATATGTCGTTCCTATCAGAAGATAAGTTACCTCTATCTGACTAAAATGTATTTTGTCATAATCCGAATATGTATAAATTCAGAAAACTTCTCTCTTCGATGTGAGGTAGGTGACAACTAAGCAAATATATATCTCAAAGTTATATAAATGACACACAGTTTTATCAACACTGGAAAGATGTAATGTAAATTAAGTGAGAAGTTATGTATCACTGTAATATCCACATCCGCTCTTTCTGTGTATATTGGTAAGTGACCTTCATTTTCCATTTCGTCACATACCATAGCCCCGTGTTTTGTTTGGTTGGTTGTATTACGCCGTAGCAATAGTCCAGCTATATGGCAGTGGCCTGTAAATAATCAAATCTGGACCAGACAATCCAATGATCAACAGCATGAGCATCAGTCTACGCAATTACGATACGATGACATGTGTTAACCAAGTCAGCAGGTCGACCACCCGATCCCGTTAGTTGCCTCTTACGACAACCATGGGTAAATTGATAAGGAGCCCCAGTGAGGTAGGTCTGAACCTACGGAAATCTAGACTTGCTTCATTTAGGGCTTTAGCATTGCAGGGACGGCTTGATGGAAGGGAACATAATGTGAGTTTTACACCGCACTCAGCAATATTCCAGCTAAATGGCAGCGGTCTGTAAATAATCGAGTCTGGACCAGACAACCCAGTCATCAACAGCATGAGCACCAATTTACGCAAATGGGAACAGATGACATGTGTCAACCAAATCAGCGAACCTGACCACCCAATCCCGTTAGTCGCCTCTTATGATAAGCATGGGTTACTGAAGATCAGTTATAACCCGGATCTTCAGGGGTCCCCCGTGCTTGGAGTAATTTGATCTGGGGAAATATCCCCCCTGTGTTTTAAGTGAATTAATCAGGGGACCATTTTCCCTGTGTTTTAAGTAAAATTGCCACCGGGCACGACATTGTTACATCCGAATATAGATCGCCTTTGTGCGAATGAACTCTTTCACACGATCACACCACAAAACACCTATGAAACTGAATCAAGAAGAATATTCTTAAAAGGAAATCTTTAGAATTTTGAAACCACTCAGCTCTTTTCATTGATACGCAGGTAAGTTGTCGCTGCCGTCGAGTTTTGTGAAGCTTCAGTATTTAGCTTCAATAGTCATTTTCCTCTGATTATTGGACATGACAAAGTAGGCTAGTTTTACAGATGTTTGCCAGCCGCAGGGATACGCCCTCTCCCACACCGTGGAGATTTACAACAGTAATAGTGCTGCAGTCGCTTTGGGTCACCGTGCTAAAGTCGCCTTGTGACACCGTGCTACAGTCGACTTGTGACGCCTCTGTTGTACTCTACGTATAGGAATAATCCGAATGCCAACATAGAAACCGATTTAACGTCTGTTGTGGCATGTCTTCATGCAAATAGTATCTGACTCTGACGTTTAACTGACAGATAAGAAACTTCGTTGTAAACGAGAAAAAATAAATTCTACAATTCAAATTCGACGATTCGTAATATCATGAAAAGGATCTTGATCTTGTGAACTGTTACTTTCTATGACCAACATGACAAGGCAGTTTCATTCACAGACCTAAACTTCAGTGAAGGTACAATTGTATTGTTGTTGTTCACTGGAGCGTGTAATCAATGGCATAATCCGAATACCGTATTTTCTCTAATAAGCGCACGGGAGCTTATTTTTTCAACGGACTTCCAGACCCGCTGCTTATTAGAGGCCCGGCGCTTTGCGCTTACTGGGTGTAATTACCGTAATTGTTAGTGTGCTGCTTTACCCTGGCGCTTATTAGAGTCCAGGGCCTAGATTTTCGAAGCTCTCGTAGCGCTAAGATAGTCGTAAGTTAATGTTAAGGTATGGCACTTACGACTATCTTAGCGCTAAGAGAGCTTCGAAAATCTAGGCCCAGGCGCTTATTAGCGGAAATACGGTACGTATAAATTTAAAATGATACTCTCTTCGAACGATGTGCGGTTACTGAGAAACTGAGAAAACTATATAAATATATATCTCAAAGTTAGGAAATGAGTTTTATTACACTGGAATAATGTATTGTAAATAATGTGCGAAGTTACAAATCACTATGATGTGCACAACAGTTTCTCGGCATATGGGCAAGTGCCATTTTGTCATATACAACCGCCCCTGTGTCCTAAGTGAATTGGGGCGGTGGGGTAGCGTAGTGGTTAAAGCTTCCGTTAGTCACGCCGAAGACCCGGGTTCGATTCCCCACATGGGTACAATATGTGAAGCCCATTTCTGGTGTCCCCCGCCGTGATATAGCTGGAATATTGGTAAAAGCGGCGTAAAACTAAACTCACTCACTCACTCACTCACTCCTAAGTGAATTGGTCAGGGGAAGATTCCCCACGTGTTTTAGGTGAATTGGTCAGGGGGAAAATTCCTCCTGTGTTTTAAGTAATTTGGTCAGGGAGTTGGGGTTGGGGTTGACATATATGAAACTTCATTTTAAACGCTGAAAACGACAAAATTCGAAAATAGAGAACGACGTTTACTTTCTATGACCAACATGACAAGGCAGTTTCATTCTCAGTCAAAGTAAGTACAACTGCATTGTTGCTGTTGACTGGAGTGTGTCGTAACTTTAACGATCAGGTCATAGTCCGACAGCTGTAGGGGAAAATCTATAGGCGGAAAATTCATAGGCGAAATGGACCGCTGTAAGCGGTTATAGTGTTCTCGTTAAACGATAATAATGACAGCCGATGTAATGATGTACGTGTCGACCTATATTTCAAGTTGTAAATTCACACATTTTATGGATTTATTAGCGTTAAAAGGCGATCTCATATTTTATCAAATTTGGAATGATATACTGTATGTACAAGCATACGAATATATCATTTTAGATATACTTAAATTAAATGTTTGATTAGAATTGGGTGATAAATGATTTAAAATTGATTATATGCGAGTGTATGAGCGTTGACGGCATAATCATAGTTGAGAAGAAAGTGGCGGATCCAAAGGGGGGTTCAGGGGGTACGGACACCACCCCCCCTTGAAAATGACTAAAGACCACTCTGAAGTTAATGTTCTGCAATGGCAGAGCCAAGCCAAGCCAAACCCACCCAACCCCCTCTCCTTTGAAAATTTCTGCATTTCTTATTGCATTGCACATGTCAATTATTGTTTTTGTAAAACAGGACTATATTTTGCAGAATCGAAACGAAATAGTCCATTTGTTCGATTCATATATTATCAATGTTTAAATTCCTGATCAATGTAACGTGCTCATTTTGAATTTTCAAACCATAGTTAACAGATTAATCTATGGTATATCTGAATTTATGTTTCTGTTTTATGGCATCTTATCTTTGGGGAGTACACAGGTTGAAGTGACATTTCATATCTTTTCAACCCTTTAGACATATGCGTATTGAGACGAATTCTGTTTTCTTAATCAACAAGTGATTTTCAAAGAATGTTTCAGAACCAACTCAAAGATTTAACTGAGAAAGTGAAACGAACTATAGATCCTCGTTATAGTACTATTCCTCAACGTACCTTTTTTTAACGCGGGCCATGCGTCGAATTCAATCCTCTTGTCTTCAAATGGAACACCCGCGCATTGCAAGACAAGTCTTGGAATCTCGCCGCGACCCCGGACATTGAAGTAGATGTATTTGTAGGATGGCATCGTGGAAATTGTCACACTGTAAGCAACGAGCGTTTCCTTTCAGCGTCAGTCACGGAGTGTCAAGCGCTGGAGCGAGGCGAGCGAGTGGTGTGGCAGAAAGTCACGTGACATTGGACCGCACCGTGATGACAAGACTTGGCTCAGGTCGTGTAATCTCGCTATCTAAGAGAGAAAGGTTAATAAAATACCGTTTCTATTTACAACCTTATACATGTATTGGCAAACACAACTTGACCAAGCAATGTCAGGCGTAAGCAACTGAGGTGCTTACTTTGTTCACAGTCGCTGAAACGTATTGTTTCCCCTTCCGCCCAGCGCTCTCTGTGCTCAATGCTAAATCTCTAAATGAAGCAAGTCTAGATTTCCGCAGGTTCAGAACCTCCTATTTCACGGGGACTGCTTTTCACTTTGTGTGAGTTAAGATTTTAAAGAAGTCACGTCGGCCATATTTCAGCTATATCGGGACTAAAAACAAGTTAGACTTTCATAATAATTACAGGTAAATTATTAAACTCCGTCAACGAAGGACAGTAAAATAACTAGTTTCTCACAGATTTGTATTTAAAACTAGTAATGAACTATAAAACATTTTAACTATATATGACAATACAATATAAAAACAGGCTATAGATTGCCAACGGCTGAAGGTAGGTCACCTTACTAGGGACCATGGGGTCTTTTCAGTTTGAAATGATTTATTTGTTACTATAAAAATATATTGTTTTAGAAACCAAGCATAAGTCTAAGAAACCAAGCATAAGTCTAACAAAAGACCTGTGTAGTGAAGTTGCAAGCGACCCTCCTCTCTCTCTCTCTCTCTCTCTCTCTCTCTCTCTCTCTCTCTCTCTCTCTCTCTCTCTCTCTCTCTCTCTCTCTCTCTCTCTCTCTCTCTCTCTCTCTCTCTCTCTCTCTCTCTCTCTCTCTCTCTCTCTCTCTCTCTCTCACACACACACAAACTAAACTGATTCCTGGTGGAGTACAATTACGGTCATTTGTGCCATACATAAAACTGTCCAGGGAGAATGAACCGCGAATATTGAATACAAGGTCGCTGCAACCTGCATCAGGGTAATAGTCAAGTTATTCATTAATTGCAACCCACGACATGTTTTGTTGTACATGCCATTAAGCAGAAAAACGAACGTCACAGTTGTTGAAAGCATATTGATAGTGTTTGATTGAAGCCAGATTAATATTGGTTTCTATGTTAGTTTCAATCAGCAATACTGATGCTGAGTAAGTGCTTGAGTGAGTATGTTTGTAAGCCGCTTTTAGCAACATTAGAGCATTTTTACAACGGTGGACACCAGAACAGGGGTTCACATTTTGTACCCGTATGGGGAATCGTACCCGGGTCTTCGGCGTGACGAGTGAACGTTAAAACCACAAAGCTACCCCACCGCACCTCTGGATGAGATGATAGCGCTAGTGCTGTGTTAACCACATCGGTACCGTCTCATCGCCCATTACTCAACATCTTTACCTATCCATTTTCAGACTAACGCTTAGTCCCTGAATATATAGAAGTTTGATAGTACCAAATAAACTCATTTAAATTCAATGTAGACTTGCTTCATTTAAGGCTTTAGCATTGCAGGGAGGGCTGGGCATTATGGAAACTAATGCGGTTCAGGGACTGTGAGACGGACTCATCCATTTTGACCATTCATCCACAGGCCCTCGTGTCTTTGCGAGGATTAAAGATGTTAAAAAAACATATAACATTTGAGATGAACCCCGACTCGAAATGCTTCACAGTACAATACATTATGACAATGCCGGACACTTCGGTGCACCCTACCCGTCTGCTTTGCCGATCGCTACGCTACCATCGCATGCAATCGATTAAAACTTAATGTAAACATAATCAGGGATGTTTGGCCTATCGAGCACCACTTATGACACCTACCAATTCTTTATTATTATTTCTGTAATTCGATTGAAACCCGATATTGACCTCCAACTAAACGATCTTGACACAAATGGATGACGATGAGTCCGCACAAAACAGGGGTGTGGTCAAAGCAAGCCCTCTGGTTGGTTGATCCTTGTTTAGGAGACATTTACAACTGATGCTTCCTTTTGAGAAGCCATTGCTAAAAAAATATTCTTACATTAAGCAGTCGATGAAAGAAAAAACATCCCGCGAATTTATAAAGAATTGCAGATTTGCAAGCGTTGACCAATCAGAGGGCTTGCTTTGACCACACCCCCGTTTTGTGTGGACATATCGCCATCCATTTGTGTCAAGATCGTTTAGTTAAGAGTCAAAATCGAATTACAGAAATAACAATAAAGAATTGGTAGGTTGCATGATTGGCTCTCAATAGGCCAATCATCCATGATTATGTTCACATTAAGTTTTAATCGATTACAAGCGATGGTAGCGTAGCGATCGGCAAAGCAAGCGGGTGGGGTATACCGAAGTGTCCGGCCTTGTCATAATGTATTATACTGTGAAGCATTTCGAGTCGGGGGTCATCTCAAAAAAATATTTTTTTAATCGTTAATCTTCGCAAGGACACGAGGGCCTGTGCATTCATCATCTTTATTTAATTTTTTCCTCATTTTGTGATATCTGGTCCATACTAGAATATCAGCTAGTGAGCACTTTATCTGATACCAGTTGCAAGCAGAGTTAACAGGATTGACCTAGTTTCCCCTATCTATTCTTAGAAACAACCTCCATGTCGTATCACTGTTAAGCAAGCACCTTGACTCTTTTCAAAGTCCTGTTTCCAGGTGAGAAATAGTTCAGTGTTCTTATCTTTCTCCCATTCTGTTGGAGAAAATGATTACTCATAGAAAAGTTATTATAGGTTAAGATATTAAATCAAATGCATGATAATTATTACAGTAGTATTTAATTATTTTATGGAAATATTTTCCAGTTTACACATTTTCTTGTATTTTGTGCACCGTATCAGAGAAGAATATTAGCCCAGGCCAATTTGCGATAACCGCAAGTCTCATAACCCATTTTTTTTAAAATAAATCTCAAAAACCATAATTCCCACACGAATTAGTGGGGCACTAATATGAGCACGTACGGAAATTTTGGAAATGGGCACCGTAGACTAGATGACAGCAACGTACTTAAATGCTATTAAATATTATTAAGGAAATCTATCATAAATGAGTATTATTCTATTTCTGTTTTACTCTCCAATTCTCTTTCTCTATAAACTACCGCTGGTACAGGTTTGAACCCAAACAGAAAATATTCGCCAAAACGCAACATGGTCCCGAAAACAATGCAGCTGTCCGAACGAATCGTGCATTTTCAAAACGTGAAAAAACGAAACGAAATTGTGGGACATTGGTCCAAATGCACGTGCAGAACAACAATCCTCCCGAGACCTTCGACGACTTGGTATTGTTGGTATACGAGCCTACCACTCCTTCCGTGGAGTGAGTGAGTTGAGTTTTACGCCGCTTTTAGCAATATTCCAGCAATATCACGGCGGGGGACACCAGAAATGGGCTTCACACATTGTATTAATGTGGGAAATCGAACCCGGGTCTTCGGCGTGACGAGCGTACGCTTTAACCGCCCTCTTTCCGTGGAAGGGCCTTGACCCGTCTACACCATCAACGCAGACTGCAAGGGGCACGAACTGTACGTCGGTGGCAGCGACGTGACTGGCAGAGAGTGTTAATTACAGATGTAAATCGGTTGAGTCTGTTCAGAAATGATCGCAGAGTTCGAGTATTTCGACGAAGAGGAACTGGCGCCAAACTGCGATCAAGACGTTCATCCGTTCGATGGAGAAGGCGTCATGGTATGGGGCGGCATTTGTGGCCAGAGAACAGCAATACTGGTTATCATCCGAGGAAATGTGAATGCCCAGCGATACAGGGATGAAATGTTGAGAATTTTTGTGGTGCCCTTTATTCGATAACAGTCAAGAGGAGCCATTTGACAGCACGACAACCCAACGTCTCCACCACCAGAATTGTTCGAGAATACCTGCATAACGTAAACGTCAACGTATTGCCTTGGCCAGCGCGTTCTCCAGACATGAACCCCTTTGAACATCTCAGGATCATCTTGATCGTCAGCTGTGTACCACCTCCAGCGAATTCGAACCGGCGGGGACTTGAACAGACACTCTTGGACAAATGGAACAGGATTCCTTCTGACGTCATCCGCCGACTGCCGACGTCAATGAGATGACGTGTGTTGGCGTGTATGCATGTCCAGGGTGGTTACACAAGATATTGACGACGTGTCCCCTGACTCCTGTCTCATTATGTGTCTTTTTATGCACTTTTTGAATGGACTCTGATTTGTGTATTTTTTAATGTTTACCCCTTGAATCATTTTTAACGAATTGCGGCAAATGCAAGACCGTAGTTACAATGAATTTTCAGTCAAATTATTGAAAAATAATTTCTGTTTGTAAAATTATTATCATAAATCTCACATAGTCTTCGTTTATATTTTTTGGTCAATTGAAGTCTGTGATAACTTTTGCCCGGTAGTGCATATGTGTCTGTGTCTGTGTCTGTGTCTGTGTCTGTGTCGGTGTCTGTATCTGTGTGAGCAGTCATAGCGGTACATATTTATTTCCTCTACCAGACAATAGGTCCGATAAAGTATGTTTTTATCTGATCCTATGACGATTTATCCAATCTCAATGTAATTTATACATTCAGAAGTGACATTTCGTTATCGGAGATTCGGGCATGTACGATATTTATTTTCTTATCGGGCGTTCACACTTTTTCGTCGGTCAGGTAAGATAGCCACTTATTTCAATGAATGTATGCGTCATCCAACTGCTCCAAAACTCGAATTCACTATCCATGTACAGGCCAAATAGTGGCTGTATCTAACCCTGCAGAATACAGACTATTTACACAGTGAAGCTTTAGAACAATGGTTTATGGTGGACGTGTGGAGAAGATTTCAAAATTTGACGCTTCAGTGACCCAAAAGATGTCTGATGCAATTCCAACGTGTACCATTTTCACGTGTACCATTTCTTGTTGACAATTGACTAGCCTTGTCATGTGTTTATGACAGTTTTCGTCGCTATATATACAACGATTCATACATGCTCCTGGTATAGTCAGATTTGTACAATCAAATCTGCTTTTAGCAGATATTTCATGCTTGTCGTAAGAGGCGAGACTCGTGAAAATCCGGGGTAGAATAGGTCTTCAGCAACCCATGCTTGCCACAAAAGGCGACTACGCTTGTCGTAAGAGGCGACTAACGGGATCAGGTGGTCAGCTCGCTGACTTGGTTGACACATGTCATCGGTTCCCAATTGCGCAGATCGATGCTCATGGTGTTGATCACTGGATTGTCTGGTCCAGACTCGATTATTTACAGACCGCCGCCAGCCACTAGTATTTGGCAAGCAATTGTCGATTGTCTGCAGATTTGTGATTCAAAATTTACATTATAAAGGTTTCCATTGTGAATTCAAATTACATTGACACATTGTCAGTTTTCAGCTGGTAATATAGGATTGCGATGATTCCACATAGTAGTATATTATCTGTAACGAACGTTACACAATTCATTCTCCAAACACGCTTCAATACCAATATTTGAATCATCCTTAATAATACTCCAAATTGCCTAGATCAATGCTCATGCTGTTAATCACTAGATTGTCTGGCCCAGACTTGATTATTTACAGACCGTTATCATATAGCTGGAATATTGCTGAGTGCGGCCTTAAGCAGCAAACAAACAAACAAACAAACAAAACAAACAAACAAACAAATTATTGTAGAATACATCTCTGTATCGACATCTTATGGTGAAGGCGGGAAAGCGATAACACGAGACGAGAAAGCAATGTCCCTTCCTGGCCTCCATAATTTCTACTCAGAGGCCGGCCTTATTCTGGTGAAGTTGATACTGGCACTTACTGGAGCAGTCTAGTTAAATGTCAGTTCTAATCTCCGCCAATCTTCTATCAATTCTGTACTTGTTTTTAAGCCTATTTTATTGTTCTAAAAGGTCAAATGGATTGGGCAAAAGTTGTCCAAATTACATGCTCTTTCCATAAACATATACACAAGCAACAGATAAATGTGTGAACATATACGTTGAAATAAATAACATGCAGAACAACTGCTACACCATTAAAAATACGTACATTACTGTATAAATATATTCCAATTATGAGTGAGTGAGTATGGTTTTACACCGCTCTTAGCAATATTCCAGCAATATCACGGCGGGGGACACCAGAAATGGGCTTCACACACTGTACCCATTCGGTGAATAGAGCCCAGGGTCTAGATTTTCGGAGCTCTCTTAGCACTAAGATAGGTGTAAGTTAATGTCAATGTATGGCACTTACGACTATCTTAGCGCTAAGAGAGCTTCGAAAATCTAGGCCCTGGTCTTCCTGCAAGAAGCAACAATACTAATGATGATATGGTTCTTATATTCAAACATTTACCGTTCTCTCAGTTGATAACATATTTGCCAATCACAAAATAAACATTTCTAACATCTGACAACAATCAAGTCAAATAAATTGCGAGCCAAGGTGCCAAGTGGAAAATTTTTCTACAGATTTGTTTAAAAGCAGTAATATTTACATTAACGTTCTGTTTGTCACAACCGTACAAATCCTCTAAAATCAATATCAAGCGTAGCATTAGTGTAGCATGGGTGAATTGCGTGACTCGCTTAGTTAGTCTTACAGGCCACGTTTAGTGTTGCATGGAAAGAAGGGGGCGGCCTACATGCTTGCCATATCCCTGTGTCATGGTTACGAACTGGGTCAGTGGGTGGATATTTTCACTCGTGGACATCACAGGTCACAGGTCATCTCAGATATCTAGACAATGGACAGTAAGAGGTTAAAACTACATTGTGCACAGCGCCAAACTGTCCGCTTCGTCCTGGTCAAGTAGTTCCACATCTGCCACCTGTGATTGGACGATGTTTCCTTGGTAAATATATTATATATTTACTAGCTCCTACACTACTGCATGTATGTCTTCACTTAGTCTGTGATACAGACCCTGAAGCAAATATATCCATGAAATCCCACGCGAGTCTAGAAAATGTGGCAAGTCTAGAGTTCCACATTTGAAAATGAAGAAAGTCTCAGGGCTCCTTTTATTATTATTATTATTATTATTATTATTATATATATATATATATATATATATATATATATTACTATAAGCCTCACAGCAACAAAAAAGTTGTTCATCCATATATTGTTATCCTTCTTAAATGGTTGTTCTAACCTCTGCCCTCTGTCCTGGAATTTGGGCTTGTCATGTTGTGAAATAGCTCTTTGGTGTTCCCTTTGAACACGGGCCTTGTGTCACACTCGCTTAAATGAGACATGTGCCTGTTATTTAGATATGCTGTTCGTTGGGGCTATTCCTTATTGAGATATGTTCATCCAATTTTGACGCAGCGCTTGCTATACGTTACAGAGACACTTATAGAGTAACCGGCGTTACTCCCTTGTGCGATATGCTCATGCTTTTGATCAATGGATTGTCTGGTCCAGACTCAGTTATTTACAGACCGCCGCCATATAGCTGGAATATTGTTGAGTGCGGCGTTGAACATCAAACCAACCCTTGTGGGATACCTTCATCTTGTCGTACAATACAAGGACAAGGCAAGTCTGACCTTCAGTATTTCGTCAACGTGACCCAGAGAACAAACCATAGTTGTAAACAGTCTAAGTAAACCTAGGCTCTGTATTATTCGTTACACTGCTATACTGAGCGTCAGCTAACCTTTGAGCGACCTGTGATCGTCCAATCAAACGCGAGACAGGAAATGTCGAATGGATTTATCCAATCTGACAACTACTTGTTAGCGTTCGGTGGGACTTACAAAACGGCTTTTGAATTTTCTCTCCCCTGGTCGCTGACACTGATCTAACAACAATCGAAAATCCGCATAAAACACAGATATTTGACCTGCAGTGTATACGCTTATGGGTTTCTAATGACATGGTTTATATGTTCGCAAGATGACATCCTTGAATATTGACAAAACGCTATTTTCAGCGACTGTTTACTCATTGCGTGTATCACTCGGAAGCGATCGTGCGGAAAATAGCATTCGGAATCGTTCGAGTTTTTGAGGTAAAAGTTCAAACGGTATGTGCGAATGTTAACTTTCGCGATTTGGTAAGCTGTGTTCTGATTGGTCATTCCAAAAGGTTAGCTGACGCGACCTTCTACTAGGTTTTGTTAGACTCAGTCAAGTCATTCGAAAACTCATTGTAAAAATGATTTGCTCCAGGACCCCGAGTTCGGGAGAATCATGTATGATTTCTTTTCGTAAATTTATTTTCACATTGTTCACTCCTCAACTTTATGCTACAAACCTGTTCCTGTCCATTCCCGGCAAATTTCAAGTTGATATCTAATTAATTCTCTGTCGACAAATAGTATGCCACCACACCTTCCATAAGATGGAAGCCCACAATCTTAGACGATTTCAAATCGACTGAATCCGTGGACGAAGAGCAGAAAGTTGTTGGACAATTGGTGAGTATTAAACTGGCCCTTGGTCTATGCTTTTCACGGTATGTGAACCAATACGTAATGATGGGTACAAACATCCGAAACTACAAGATTGTAAAAAAGGTTGATGCATTATTCAAACCATCCTCAAGGATTCCTTCAGTCGTTTTTTCTTTCCTGCATGTTCATTCTGTAACCTCTGCAACTTCAAAGTCCACAACTTCCAAGGAACTGTGGACCATCAAACTTAAAGCTTCAATTCCATATTTTGCACAATATACGTGGTGGATGACATCTACTATCTCTTCAACTGGTGTACCTATCAACAGATTCCTGCTCTGTTTTCCAAAAATTCCCCGGTAACTGGCATGAGGGAATACATGGCGTGCCAAGGAAAGAAATGAAGTGTAGGAACTTCTGCTGCCTGGAGTGGAAGTGCGAGACTTCTGGTGTGGTTTGGGGGCATGGTACCACATGGTCCTCCTCATGGCACTGAAGGACCTCGCGCTTGATGCTGATGTTACGTCGTGTTGCCAATCAAAGTAGCATGAGAGTTACCCACCTTTCTTAGAAAGGGTGCCTAAAGCGCCTAATGGCTGGTACGCTACTGAATAATGTCTTTAACATGAGCTTTTGCCAACAAGCTTTTCGTTCATTAATATATAATGCATCAGAAGCAATGGCGTTTAGGTTTGACCAGTGAATAGAATGCTGGTTGGCTGCAAGGTCTGCTTCTAGCCTTGGAGGGCGGTGGGGTAGCCTAGTGGTTAAAGCGTTCGCTCGTCACGCTGAAGGCCTGGGTTCGATTCCCCACATGGGTACAATTTGTGAAGCCCATTTCTGGTGTCCCCCGCCTTGATATTGCAGGAATATTGCTAAAAACAGCGTAAAACCATACTCAGCCAGTCTAGCCTTGGAGGAACAACTGGTTGTGACTTCCTGAACAAAACTTCATGTTCGCCTGGTAAGTCGGGTTTTACATACCGTACCGATTAAGTTAGTTTTACGTTGCTTTTAGCAATATTCCAGCGATATCACGTCGGGGGACACCAGAAATGGGCTTTAAACATTGTACCCATGTGGGGAATTGAACCCTGCGTCAGCGTGACGCGCGAACGCTTTAACCACTAGGCTACTCGACTGCCCCAAATGACAGGTAGACATGGTCTTTAAGCAAGGCCTTAGATGTTATATGTGATATGGATCACACACCCATGTGCTCAAGATGATGCTGTTATCCTTTGAGACCTCACTGCTGACACGTCAAAGGTTGTGTTATCACGAGATGTACTCTTATCGAGATTTGGTTGATACTATGGAAGTGTGTACATATATAGACTATACGTATAGATGTAACGACAATATCAGTAAGAAGCTGAGAGATTACATCTTCATACAATCTCGTTTACAATGTAAGGTTGTATACAAATGTGTCCTGGTAGTACTTATGAAATTGGTGTCATACTAATTATTGGTATCACTTAATATACTTAATAAAATAAAATATTGCAAAGGATTCCTTTTTGGAGGTTTACGGTATTTCGACGCGAATTACCCTCGTACGGGAACTGCAGTCACCTCTTGAAGATAAAGTTGAATCTCGCAGGAGAATAATCCGTGTTTTGTCATTATTTTATGGATTTCTGATTATATGCACATCAAATCTATCCATCAATCCACGATGGGAATTAAATGTAGTAGTGTTCCAATTAATTAATTCCGATTAATCGAACACAAACGATTTTGGAACTACTACTGTTTAACTCGTTTAAATACTTGACGATGGAACAAATCCTCAAAGTTGTCAGGGCCTGAAAACGTGTTTGATTGTTAGAAAACCCACTTCACTAACTGAAAAGACATGACTCAATATTTCTTAAAAGTCTCCAGGAGATTTATGTTCATATATATATATGTGATATAAAAGTCATTACTTTACATAAAACAAAAAAAATAAAACAACAGAAAAGCAAAACAACAGAAACAAAAGCAACAAAAAACCCACAAAACCCCCCAAAACAACAACAACACAAAACAATCACATTTTACAAATTTACAGGCATCAGTGTACCGCGTTAGGAATAAGATTTGGTTTAAGAACGTCCGTGGTTTGTTTTGGCTCATGAAATTATAAAATGGATTTTATATGCGCTTTAATAACTTCTTAGATAAATCGACTCTGGGTTTGGTCTGTTTCGAGTACACAGCATTCTTTGGTGTATTCGTTTGCATGTAGCTTTATGTCTTGGTGACTTCGGTCGGTATTTGAGAAATGTCCGGATAAGCGAGATTCGGTTGTATATATCATTCTCTCCAAATACATATCAATACCGTTGTCGCTAGATCCAGTCCCCTGTCTCGAAGTTCGTTGATGCAAATGACCAAATCCACTAAGGGGAGTTAACTCTTGTGTGACTATTGTGACAAAGTTCCACATCGCAATATCGGGTTCACCTTTTATGCTTCAGGATGCATTTGATTGTTCTTTTTCCATTACGAGAGCTGAACGCTGCACTCAGTAATATCCCAGCTGTATGGCGGCGGTCTGTAAATAATCAAGTCTGGACCAGACAATCCAGAATAAGATTTGTGTTTCACTGGGGATATAATCCGCAGTTTTATGCATTGTGTAAGTCTGTTGTTGAATATATTTACCTGTATGACTGACTGACTGACTGACTGAGTTTGGTTTTACGCCGCTTTTAGCAATATTCCAGCAATATCACAGCGGTGGACATCAGAAATGGGCTTCACACATTGTACCCATGTGGGGATTCGAACCCGGGTCTTCGGCGTGACGAGCCAACGCTTTAACCATTAGGCTAACCCACCGCCCCATGTACCTGTATGAAGTATATTATAATTTTAATAATACACAAATGCATAAGAGTTTGCATGTTACATGTAATTGATTAAATTACTATTTTTGATATAATGACCACATGTTTTTGGTTGTAGATGTTTCGTATTATTCATTTTTCAAGTCAAAAATTGAATGTATACCAAGTTCTGAGACTGTTAAGGCTGGGTGTATGTAAACATTTGAGTGTTTATTGTATGTGTACTTTTTGTCTTGTTTACATACATGTGACACTTAAATAAACTATGTCTGTCTATCTGTCTGTCTATAATACTCCGTTGCAGTTAGGATATTACAACAGTATTGTACCGCAGAGGTACAGATAAGGCTGGATTTACACTACGTCCGCATTTTTTGACGCATGCGTTACCGAGTGCGTTTTTTCCAATACACTAGGAGCGATCATCTGCGATATAAGACGGATGAATATTAGATGGAGGAAAAATCCTAGCAGTTTCTGTGCATGAGGAAGAGAACAGAACACGGAGATGGTGGGTACATCCCTTAAACCAACAAAGATTACTTGAAGGAGCCTATAATCGTCTTATAAGGGAATTATTAGGGAATTAAATAACATCAATCTTTTATGTGTTTTCGAAATACTGAACTAAAATTATGTAGAAAATATTTACTTTCATACCAACAGTGTTCTCTCATACACTCAGGCATTACCACCTTTACCGTCATGGTTTATAGTGAGTGAGTATGATTTTACGCCGCCTTTAGCAATATTCCAGCAA